TACATATCCAACCTCGCACTGTTTATTTCTAGAACCAGATATTACCAACAAACAGTTTGTTCTTCTATTCGTCTCCGTCAATGTTGCTAGCCTATCACTTTTACTGTACTGAGCAGCTTTAGAATCTCGGTACTTTGTCGATTTCAGCTATCTAATAGGAGAGTGTTGGGACGCTTGATTTTCATATTGTACCTGACACAAATCTGGCCCGGCACTACTTGCTTATTTATGGAGCCAGATATTACCAACGAACAGTTTGTTCGATTCCAGAGCTGCTCCTAATTGATCGGTTCGAGGACTCGATTGATGGTTTTTTTTTAAAGATAAATATTTACAAGAAAAGATTGAATTTGCAACAACTGATGACTGTGCTGACGTTGATAGTGATGCAAAAGAACCAACTGGGCTGGTGATTTTTTTAGAAAATAGATATTTATACACATTTGCCAATCTACTTCCCTCTGTCCTTCCCAAATCCTCCACAACGACTTCATGCGCATAGATTTGATGATTAACGTGGGCTCGAGCTTAGCGTAGAACAGATTCTTCAACCCCGCCGTTATGTCTAGCCATGGTGCGAGCACAAATTATCAGGTTAGGGAGTTTTTTTAGAATCGAACTCGAAAAGAAACGCAAAACCGAACCATGCGAAAACACACACTCCTCCCTTCCCCCCCCCCTCCCAATCCTGTGCCGATGAGTTACAAACAATTGTGCGACTCAACTGGGACGGGCCACAATAGGCAGTAGAAGGTGGTCAGGCATTTCTTCCGGGACTAAGTGTTCGGGGAACCCCCGGGATTTTCGGATGAGAAGGTAGGGGCACTTTAGAAGTTTCCGAGATGAAAATCCGGACGACTCCATTCCTTTGTTTCCCTCCTGGTCCAGAACAGTTTTCGAGAAAGGGCTCCGTTCACGGCGCCAATCACTGAGCAGCCTCGAATTCCTGGCACGAACCTTGGCGCTATTCTAATAAAAATTTATCTCAAATATTGCAGGATTGTTGGGAAATGCGGTGTGTGACGTAAACTGATGAATTGGACTGAGGAGGCAGATGATGGCAAGTTTGCGAAGAGAGGTAAAAAAGATGCTTTCTGCTCGAAACCGGTTCCAAACAAGCAGCAACAGCAGCTTGCGGGCCTGTTGCGCAGTCTTCCTCCTCCCCCCTCCCCGCCCTGTGGTTGACAGCGTACCCCCCTTCGTCCGCATTGATATATTCATTTTGATAGCGTCTTCTCGCTGATTACTTGTCAAAGATTTGACATTTCATGTCTTTCTTACAACACTTTTATGCTTTGCCGATGATATAATGTAAGTATCAAATAAGGGAAATATATATCTTACATATGTACAAAATATCAACGTGGAAATATGTTATTATTATTGTTATTGTTGTTATTATTATTGTTGTTACTACTATTATTATTGTTGTTATTATCATTATTGCTATTATTATTACCATTATTATTACTATTATTGTTATTATCATTGTTATTATTATTGTTGTTGTTATTATTAATGTTAATCACTGTTATATTTGTCATTATCATTACTTTCGCTCTGATTGCAGTTGGCCAAGCTGTCGAAGTATTTTTATTATTACTGCTCTTATTTTGTTTATTACAGTACTGTTGTTTTTATCACGATACAAATGCGATCATAAAAAAAAAGAAATAATATTTGTTTTACAGTTTGCTCATACTAATAATAATACTTCTATGAGCATTCAAATGTTTTGCTTCGACACTTTGGCCAGCTGCAATCAGAGCGTAAATAATGATAATGACAAATATAACAGTGATTAACATTAATAATAATAATAATAATAATAGCAATAAGAAATATTATTTCGGCAGAAAGTGTAAAAATATTCCACATTTCATAATTCGGTTTTCCAGTAATGGGGCTTGTAACTTTTCCAGTTGTTTTGACCAATGCTGCATCACCTGGTGGTCAGCCTACTGGCAAAAATATTATTACATGGATAATCCTAAAAATTATCAGTATAAATTATAAAAACATGGGTATTATCATGAAAAAAGGAGTATTATCACAATTAATGTATGGGAACTTTTGAAAGATTTTATGCTGAAGCATTGGTATGGGAAGGATTGCTTAGGCGTGGAAAAGGGCCTTTGTCCGAAGTACAAAGAAATGAACATAGCTCGTGATTCATAGCTAATTTTTACTCAAATCGTAGCAAAAATTTAACTTAGCAAGATTTCAGGCCTTCTTGGACTCTGTGAATAAATGAATTTTTCGGCGGTTGGAACAAATCAAACGAAGATAAGCATGTGGACGGCAGTGTCCGAGCTAATTATGGAGCGGATCGATGATCTGGTCTACTCCGAACTGCTCGTCCTCTCATTTTTCTTCTCAATGATTATGCGACAGGTATCACTGTCTTAAAAAAAAATCTTTTTGAATGCCTCCTATAAATTACATGGCTTTGTTCAGATACTGTCTCATCGTTGCGTTTCTTCTCGCCATTGATGTTCTTTTTTTAGCAGCTTATTATCCATTCTTCTTTGTTTAAGCTAATCACATTCTGCTTAATTTCTAAAAGACCTCCGAGTAGATCATTCCAGCGGATTGGCCACTTTCCCGCATTTGTTTGACATTGCTTGGGTACCATCCAGTAATCCGCTCTGCCCTTCTATTACTCAAAAATCCGAATTTTTTTTAAAAATTTTTTTCAATAATTTTTTTTTTTGCCCATTTGCTGCATTGAGCATCATGCAAATTAACTGCTGTGTCAGCCGGTTTTTTTAGGTTGTTTTTTTACGTTTGCCTAATTTTCCGCCTTTTTTTTAAAGGAATTTTCCTGTAATTTCAGGTGCGATGGGGAATTGTTCGGGAAATCTGTGGTGCTCTGATTGGCATTGGTTTAACTTATTATTTTACGGGTTGGAAATTGCTCTATTCGCTTATCATTGTTATTCTCAATGTGATTATAAATTCTTCGGTGACGAATGGGTATGTATAATTACTCCTGATACACAAAACTTATACCTTTTTCGACTTTTCGGGGCTTTTTTAGCTTCTCAGAGTCTCATGCTAAACAAACGTGATGCCATCATTTTGTTCTGTACTTTTGTTGTATGGAAGTGAAACATGAAATATTATGGTTTGCTGGCAAAAAGAGGGAAAAAGAGGCATGAAAATTTTAGAAATACTTATAATTGGCGTCAATTTTCAGTGAATTATTACTGAGTGTGAGTCATTTTATTGAGGCAATTTTTCCACAGAAAAAAAAGAGTTGGGCTGATAGCACTGTCAATTGCTGAAGTGAAAAATACAAAAATTGCTGTTAAAAACGAACGATCTCTGATTGAAAAAGATCTTGTTACGCGGATTTAATAAGTTTAAAATAAGAAAAATTGAAGAAGTTGTCAGCTCATCACTGGCGAGAAGAAACGTGACGATGAAACAATAACTGATCAAATATCAAAAACAGTGATTCCGTAGGATAACTTATGGTATTTGGAATTTCGAACATGAAAAACTATCGATAGCTTTGTGATGGGAATATAAGTTTCGTATCGAAAAATGCAAAATTTAAAATGCATTTCATTGCTGATAGTCCAAGAATATTCCTGTGTTCTGTCTCAAGGACCCCAAGACCACTCGGTATATCCCATTTTAGTGGTGTTAATCCAGTACTCATATCGGGCGTAGCTATGCCAGGCCTTTCAATTTCTGGGCTATATACCTCCAATTAGTACCCAGCTCTTGTTCGGTTCATTTTTTCTGGGATTTTCCTATTTTTATTAACTTTATTGCAGGTATTTACCGCTTGTTTCATTCGCTGTCACTTTTGTTTATTTGGGAATTTTGCGCTCCATCCATTTGATTGGTTTCCCATCGCTTATTTCGCATTCGAACGCTGTTCAGCTAATTATGACACTGCGAGTAAATCATTTCATTTCACTTTTTAAGGTTCCTTACAGCTTAGGCGGCTGCTTTAAATATCAGGTAAATTATTATTGCAGCTTGTTGGTTTGAGTTTTGAAATTTCCGATAGTCGCAAAAAGAATGCAATGGATTTCGACCCGAAGAAAACCCGGTTTATTGAGGAACCTCGCTGGTGGCAATCGATTTTGTACGCCTATAATTTCCCCGGTCTTTTTACGGGTAAGTTTCATTTGGGTTTTAGCGCACAGCACATTATAGCTTTAGAAAACAACGACATTTACGATAATGAGCAAAGTTTCGAGAATGTAGCAAAAACGAGAGACAAGAAGTGGATTTGGAGGCCTACAGGCTGTATTTACGCAGAAGAACACATGGAACACTGTCAGTACTTGGAAGGATCCGCTTTGAAGGTTGCGGATGAGAGCAGCTCAAAATAGAGGAAAATAGAAAAGTTGTCAGTTGCATCAATGATAAGAAGAAACGCGACGATGAAACAACAGCTGATTAGAAAAAAAATGTAAAAATTTGCTTGCTATGTTGTTTTTAATCCTGATTTGGCCTCTTCTTCCCATTTCTAACTCTGAAATTCCTTTTTTTTAAGAAAAATTTTTTCTTTTCGGATTTCTTCGTCTTTTTTTGCACAAATTTCTTTCTAGGCCCTTATTATACATATGCGATGCATCGAGATGTTGTCGATAATGATAATATAATGGAGATTTCAGTTTGGGATCACATTTCTTGGCGCCTCCATAATCTTGCATGGGCATTGCCTGCTTTCATTCTGCTTGTATACGCTTTCCCTCTTCAGGTACAACTCAAATATGTCCTCACTTCATCTACCGAGCCTAAAAATTTGTAGCAGAATTGTCACCATTGCCGATTTTAGGCCCAATATTACTGAGGTGCACTGTCAAGTTTTTCACCCTTCTGTCCCTCCTGTTTAGGCCGGTCATTTATTTACACATTGGCGGATCTAGGGCAGGGGGGGGGGAGGGATGGCGGAGGGAGCGAGGGCTCCCTCTCCACTTTCCAAGGCTCAGACAACACTTGTTTTACTGCAGAAAACTTTCTTTGATACCCCTTATCTCCCTCCTCCCCTCCTTCGGGTAATCGCCGCAATTTATGGTCGACCAGCGAGAGGGGAGGAGGGGCTAGCAGGGCGGCCGAGGAGGCTTGGGGAGGGGGAAGAAAAATAGTGTCTCCGATGTTGTGACGAATGGAGGGAGGAGGGAGAAAAATCCCCCCCCCCCCCTCCCCCCCGCCTCCCCACTTCGCTCCAGGAGACCAATCTGGATCCGCTTGTGCTTGCGCGTGCTAACTCGAAAGATTGTATGTTTAGTTATATTTTATTTGGATAGAGGCAGTGGTAGAAAGATGGTACACATACATCGAACAAAAAGTAGTTGCTACCTGAAGTTGTGCAACAGGAAATCGAAAGACCTGGCTTGGCTGCCTCTCGGCACCATGACCAACATAGGATTTCCACGTTTGACCGAATTCATCCTGCCAGCTTTAGTATTTCTAACAGAATTGTACTTCGCGTGCTTTTCTGTGGCCGCGTTGCTGCATTTTAGATGATGCGTGAAAGTGAATTTTTCGATGAAACAGCATTTTACCGGGTTTGGATCAGCTTTTTGGTTTTCCTCTGGATGCGTTGTCGCGTCTACAGTGCTTGGATGGTGGCCGAATCGATTTGTGTGCTCAATGGAATTGGAATTTATCCAGAAGAAAGTTGTCCATCAGCTGGCAAAGGGCCCAACCGAATTGATATTTTCAAGTAAATCATTTTTGTGGCACTACAGTTTTTTTTTTTGGTGGTTGTTTTTCTACGCAAATATTTGATGGGTAGGGATTATAGGTGGTGAGGTTTGGGAGCTGGGAAGGGGGAGGGGACAAAAATTTTTAAATTTTGGGATAAAAAATTTTGCAGTGAGCAAATGAACGGTAAGGGAACGAAGTATAACTCGGAAGCGGTACGCAATTTGGACATTTGGGCGATTGAATTCGACGCAACATTTCGTGGTGGCATGCGGGCCTGGAATCGTACTGTACAGTTCTGGCTGGCAAATAATGTATACAAACGAGTACCCCGTACTGTCGGGTAATGTTCTTTTTTTTTACAGTATTTGTTGAGAGTTTATCTCTTAATGGATTATCTCTTTATCTCTTAATGCATGAG